CGGTGGCATACACCTGTCATCCTAGCATTTAGGATGAGGCAGAAAGATGATGAGTTTGTTAACAGCCTAGGCTACAAAACAAAAACCTGCCTAAAAACCAACACCAAACAAAAGGCCTTGATGGTGTGGTAATCTACATACACATTACTGATATATTGGATTTATCTTGCTTTGTTATTTATAAGCTATGATTTTCCTCCCTTTTTTCCTTATTTCCATTTTCAGGCTTGGAACACTCACAGACAGTTTGTATTCACTAATGGTTATTCTTAAGATTGTGTTAAATATATGGATCCTTGTCTTTAGGTGTGAAGGAAATCAATGCCACATGCTTTCATAGACTAGTCTTCTTTGCACAAGCTCACATATGGCCTAGCATTTGACTTTTAACTTAAGTTATTTTACTCTAGTCTACACATCTACATTTGTTTAAAATTTGCTGCCACACCACACCAGCTGATTTCTTGGCTTACACGTGCCCTTATTACCCTACTCCTTTTTGCGGCTTCACTCAGTTTCAAGCTTACACAGCATCCTTCATTAAAACTTCTACTGTACCTTTAAGAAGCCTACCTCTCTCAATACACTGCCAGATATTCTTAGGATTTAAATAGTTAACACTGGAATGCCCCGGTGAGGCTGCAGTTTAGCAAACCAGTGCTTGCACAAGCCTCTTAAATGTCGGCACTGAAACCTAATTAATTGCCCCATTTAAAGGGGTCTCTACTTAGCAATGAATTCCAAGTGTCCTAAAACTACATTTTGCAGAGAAAACTAACAGCCATAACAGCTACATAAAACATTCATGATGCAGTGCTTACCTGATCCAAACAGAAATGAACATTGCTATGTGGACCCCTATGGGTTCAAGTGGATGCTTGTGAGTTCTAAAGTTAGAATCCAGGCACAAACTCCCCTGCTCTGTCAGGGCTCCCACCCAAGCAGAGACATTCACAGCAGAATGCCAGCCTTGCTTGCTGCCTGTTCACCTGCCATCCAAACCAGCTGGGTTTCTTTGGTTAGCATTAGAATGACAACAGCTCCAGAATATCAATGTATTCAAGTGCTGTGCACCCAGCTGCTACCCAAAGCCTGGGTGCAAAACAAGAGTTCTCTAGTCCCTGCCAGAGACCTAAATATTAAAACTATCATAGTAGAACACCAAGTCTTTCGGATTTTTGCTTGTAACTCCACAGTTTTTTACTTCAATTTTAGGTCCTCCACTTTGACCGTTACCAGAAGCACACAGAAAACCTTATGTACTTACTGAAATCCCCACTTGGATACTACAATCTGTTCCTTAATATTTGTTATTTAAAAAAACCCACAGAGCAAGCTTGTATGGAATCTCATACTTTGGTGCTTCCTGTTCTGAAAACCTGGCCACATGTTACTCAAAGCTGCTGCTGTTACTATATGTCTGGGACCCTAGGAAAGTAACCACATGTTAAAAAAAAAAAAACAAAAAACAGTCCCACTGTTCAGAATGGTTTATAACTAGAAAACTTAGAAGTAACCTAAATAACCTAAATGTCTAAGAATAAAAAATGTGCAAAATATAGCACATATTCCAGAGAGGAGGTTAAGTGATTAGACTACTGGAAATGTACTACGGAATTTATGACAAACAAAAGGACTGTGTGTGTGTGTCCATGTTTTTTGTATACACACAAGCATGTATGTTTATGTGTGCCTGAGTATGTATGGATATTTGGTGGGGCAGACAGTCCTGTAGAAGCCATGTTCTTTCATAACGCCACATCCTTTTCTTTGTTGCATTTCTTGTAGCTGTGTTAATTTGTGTAATTACCTGATAAATGCTTCACTCTCCTTCTGGTCTACAACAGGGGCTCTTAGTTTTGTACACCGCTATTGGAGGAACCTGCTGTCTGAGGTTGCAATCTACCATGTCCGGACCCCTCTCCCAAGCTCAGCCCAGAATTGAGAACTCCCTTTCTCAGAAGGTGCTTGTCTCTGTCTGATCTCCTCTGGAGAATGTCTCTAGGCAAAGATGCCTCTAACCACATCTGCCCACAGGATAATTAGGTACCGTGTTTCCTTTCATATGATAGGATAGTGCTGCCAAACGCAAATAAAGCATTCTTGTCACTTCAAGCCCCAGCCTATAATGTGCATCTGGAGGGTGGAAACCCTCCACCCACTCCATAAGAACTACAAAGCCTTTGTTCACCCTGAATAAAGTTGAGCAGTCTCACTGAACCTGGTCCAGAAAGTTATTCCATTTTGCTCATGGGCCATTGAACCTCTGTTTGTTGCTTCTGCTCCATTTGTCCCTGGGACCCACAGACAAGAGTGGGGGAGCAGGAGGGAGAACCACACACCACTTACTACGCAGGCCTAATATTTGAAGAAAGAAGACACAAGATACAAATGTTGATGAGAGACACAACGGGTCCAGGCCAAAGCTGAATTATCAGACTAAAAAGGACCACTCTCATCATTTCCACTTAGATCACTGTAAGACCATGAGGACCAGAAATAAATGTCGCAGGGATGACACCCTAAGCAAAACACTTGCAGTTACGACAGAGGACAGGTTGGAAGTGCAACAAATGCCCAGAAGAATATGTCAGGAGAGCAACATATTTAGGCATGCACCAGTGTCTGAATTCTGAATGGTCTGAGACCCAATGAACACCTGAAAATACTAGGTAGAAAATGTCCTCCTATAAGATACAATTGGGGGCCAGTGAGATGGCTCACAGGATAAAGGTACTTGCTGTCAAACCTGATGACCTAAATTTGATCCTGGGGCATTATTAGGGAATAACAAACTCCTTAAGTGGTCCTCTGATGTTCACAGGCAGGCCATGGCATATGCATGTCCTTACGCATACATAAATAAATACAATAAGGTAGTTTTTAAAAGATATATACGGGTTTTTTAAATATATAAAAGTGTTGGTGCTAATGTGTCCTGTTTCCAGCCTTTGATATTCTCTTCTAGGTTAGTTCCTAGAACAGCATCCCACTATGTCGCAGGCTGCCTTAAATACACTGTCCTCCTGCTTCAGCCTCCTGAGCACTTGAATTATGGGCTTGAGCCACCAAACTTTGCTTCTTAAGAATAGCTGACGAACATTAGGGCTAAAATCAAAGAAAGGTGGTAAGTTGAGTGAGTCTGACTTTCCCTCTAATGTTTATAATTATCAATATTTAAGCCTATGAGAAAAGAGTGTGGCCTATTTAAAGAACTGCTGTTTTCTTCTGTAAATTGCTAAGGATTTGAAATCTACTGTTTTTGCCTTTTCCCTGTTACTATGAAAACTCAAAGTCAAATTTGGGGTTCATGTATGGTCAAATGGTCCGGGTAGTTCTTATTCTACAGAGCCAAGGGGCACATTTTAAAATATCCTGTACAAAGCCTTCCCTGCTCTTGTCTGCTCCTTGTGATACCTAGGTCTTTAACCATATCCTGTCCTGAGCAACTCCTGTGACTTCATGTTTGTGAACACTTTTCCTGCTATACCAATGGCTCCATATGGGGTAGAAGAAAAGGAGACTACAAAGTAAAAAGGCCTGACAGAATAAAGCCACCTAGATGTCCTTTCCAAATGACCCATCACAGCTTACCAGCATCCACCCATTTACCCAAACGTTATATGTCACTGGTATTATTAGCCAGTATAATCTATGGCAGTCACCTTGAGGATAGTTAGGAAGAAAAGAGACTCAATGGCTGGTGAAGGACAGGAAGTTGAGTAAAGACTGAAATTTTACTAAGGTAAATTTTATAATTAGGAGCTTCAATTCCTGTTCAATTTTGGATCTACATGTGTGCTGGGTTCCCCAGTCTTATATTAAGTACACATCTCCTTCAAAGCACAGACAGAGGTCATAAATGCAACACCCATTAAGTTTTGCTTTTCAAGCCTTTATGTTATTTTTAATCTTGCTACCACTGAGAGTTTAGCCTAGACCAGTAGTTCTCAACATGTGGGTTGTGACCTCCCTTGGGATAGGGGTCAAACCACCTTTTCACAGGGCTCACCTAAGACCATCAGAAAACACGGATATTTACATTACATTTCTCAACAGCAGCAAAATTTGCAGTTATGAAGTAGCAATAAAAATAATTTTGTGGTTGGGGGTCACTACAATGTGAGGTACTATATGAATGGGTTGCAGCATTAGGAAGTTTAAGAACCACCCTATCGATCTAGCCTTCCAGCCCCTAGAACCGTGAAGAAAATCAATGCTCACTGTGATAAGGCAGGACAACATCTGACAGCTCTCCGGGCTCCCGCTCAAATGGTACACTCCTACAACCCCTTCAGTCATAATAAACAAAATCATTTCCATATTCTGCTCAACTGTCCTTGAGGAATAAACTCTCCTATCTGCCCCACTGAGAAGCAGTTTTAGAATGTAATGACTGCTGGCCTTCATTATATTCCAAGTATTCAGTAGTGGCTTCCTGGCTTGTGTTTCACCTCTCCTCTGCAAAATGTTTTTATCCTGTAAATATAGCAGTAATTGCTTCCAGTTTAAGGTATGGCAGATTCTGTAATTTTTACTGAAATATGGTTTTTACTACAGCCTAATATCTGTTAACGCAGTGTTAGAAAACAACATGTCAGTGCTAACCTCTTCTCACTTATCTCACATAAACACACTCACAGACTCAGTGAGTGGTCCTGTTGTCTGCTTCCCAAACTCTGGGAACCCATGAGGAAAACCAATGGCAATGTCAGTGTGAAAACGTTCAACCACTATCACAGTAAGAGACTCCACAACACACACACTCACACATCAGAATCTGCATAGCATAGCAAAAAGCCAATGTCCACAGAGATAATCTCTGGAAAGGAGAAGTCACAATCGTTTTCCCAGCAGTAATAAACTCATTGTTGTAACAGGCCATATGTGCTGCTGAGTGTGAAAGCTCGTGTGTCTGGCCTGGGCAGAGTCTAAGGGATTGGCGGGGTTGGGGGAACCTTCCAAACAAAGGCAATGGAAACTGCAGGCATTTTTCACACAATAACAAATTTTATGACAAATGCAATATAAAGATTTATAGCCTCTATTCAAATACCCACAAGACACTGTTTCAAGGACATTACAAATTGTATTATTCGTTGATAAAATCCATTTATTTCTTTTTTTCTTTTTTATTTTTTTTTAACAGTTGGGATTCCAAGTGTTAGAGATCTGCCTGGCCCTGTGGAAAAATACTAATAATTTTTAAGTGGCACTTCAGAAGAATATGCATGTTTCAGAGTTACTGTGACTGTTACCTTAAATTACAATACTAACTTTCCTGACTTTTCAAAAATTATAAAATTCACTTTGTGACTTCACATTATAAATCTACTCTATATGTAAAACACAGGTGTGTCTAACAACCACATACATTCAACTTGGGCACCAACTAGTAACTGCTGGTGGCCTGGTCTCACCCACTTACACCAAGGCTTTGTGGATTATGACAAAAGCATGCATACTCTTACCAAAAGGAAGCTGTTGCTGAGGTTGGTTCCCCAATGGAAAGAAGTGAAAAATGACTTTAAAACATCCTGAAATAGAGAAGTCAAACCAAGGCAAACACTCCTGCTAAGGAATGTGTGCTCCGTGCAAAGCTGGTGAATGTGTTTTAGGGAAAAAAATGTCTTAGAGGGAAGGAAGCAACTGACTAAGAAGGGCAATTTCAGAACTTTTCTTTTCTTTTTTTTTTTTCCTTCCAGAAAGGCAAAGAATGAAAATAAATTAACTATTACATTTAGAACTAAATATCTTCCTTGGATATTGCTAAATATGAAAGCACATATGGCAATAAAAATAACACACATTCAGGTCACTGTATGGAAAAGCTGGCAAAAGCTCATACTAATTCCTATTCCGCTTGTTTCTTGGTTCAATCTCAGCACCTTCAGCGGCTCTAGAGCGGCGATTCTGTTGTGGGCTTACTTCTATGTTTTGATCATTTCTGAAAACAAGAAAAGCAGAAATGACATATTAGAAAGCAATGGTCATTATTCTATGAGAATCCCCGGCATACCAAGTACTTCCACACTCACGATTTCACTAAAACCCACAACTACCCTCTCTCTAAAGACAGTCTACAATTTGAATCATCACTGTAATTATTCCCACTTTGTTAAAGTATGAGAACAATGAATTTGCAAAGACCAAAGAAAGAGTCCTTCCCTTAAATCAAAATCTAGTACCTTTAAAAAGCAGCACATGCCTGTAATTCCAGTACTCGGGAGGCAGAGGAAGGAAATTCTGGTTTTAAGGACAGCCTGGTCTACATAGTGAGCTCTAGGCCACCCTGAGAGAAGGTACAATTACTATATCCAAATCTCATCTCAAAAACAAGCAGAGCCAAGGAGATAGGTCAGTCATTAAAATCTTGAGTTCCATCCCTAGAACCCTGTGGTGATTTGAGTAAGAATGGCCATCACAGGCTCATATATTTGAATGCTTAGTCATCAGGTAGTGACGGTACTTGAGAAGGATTAGGAGGTATGGCCTTGTTGGAGGAGGTGTGTCACTGGGGTCAGGCCCAGTGTTAGCTCTCTTCCTGCTTCCTAAAGGCCTGGATGTAGAACTCGCAGCTATGACTTCTCTAGTACTAGGTCTGTCTGCACGCTGCCATGCTTGCTGCCATGGTAACAGACTAAACCTCTGAAATGTAGGCAAGCCCCAATGAAACGCCTTCTTTTATAAAAGCAGCCACAGTCATGGTGTCTCTTGACAGCAACAAAACACCAAGAAAAGCCCACATTAAAAAGCCAAGCACAGTAGTCAGTGCTTGTAATCCCAGTACTGGGGAGGCAGATAGGTGTCTAGATCCATGGGATGGGCTGACAGCGGGCCTAACTTACTAAGTCCCAGGCCAGTGAGAACTTCTATCTCTGTCTCTCTGACATGGACACATACACACACACACAAACACCACACAACCACCCATGCACTCACACTAAACAAAACCTAAAGAAAAAAACAAGTCCCTCTCCAAAGATAGATGGGCCATACAAATTTCCTCACTTTGGGCAGAGCATTAGATAATGAAAGAGAGAGCTGCTGTGCAATCAGCTAAATGGCTCAGGGATCCTTTTTTTTTTTTTTCCTTTCTTTCTTTTGACGTTGAAAATGGAACATAATAGATCTCTAACATATTACACATATATTTTTACCATTAATTCTTTTTGTTGCAGTTGTTTGTTTTGTTAACATGGAATTTACTATACAGCTCTGGCTGATCTGAAACAAACAATGTAGATCAGGTTGGCATGAATTCTTAAGTACAAGGTAGCAGAGCAAGGCAAACACTTAAGTTCACATGTACTTGCAAGCCTCATTCCTCCAATGAGTGCTCATGAGGAAGCCTGGAATAGGCCAGAAACAGGAGGGCATACTGAGACAGTCACAAAGTACGTCTGTCTCCCCAGATGCTTCTCTTCTGTGAAGATCAGAAATGCATTGGTCCCTGGAGCTCAGACAAAAATCTGAGTTTCTAATGGGGGTGGGGAGGGGAGCTGATGATCTCACAGATACTTTGGCCAAGTCAGCCAGATCAAACATTGAAAACCAGCCAGGCCAACTCATGAATTACCTGGATTATCTCCCCTTATTAATGGACAGACAGAAATAAGCTCTGGTACAAACACGCTCATTCTCTGGCATCCTACATTTCAGTCCTGGACTAAAATGAAGACACAAAAGAAGCAAGAAAGAGGCCCCACTGCCATGCACAAAGCAGCTGATGCAGAGGTAGCCCACATACTGGACCCACCAGACCACACAACTTCAAAATAATTATGATCAATAATATACACTGAGGCCTCTAGCAGAAAAGGCAGGAAACATCCAGAAAATTTCAGCAGTCGTGGAAATGATATGAACAAATCAAATGGAAACACTAGGAAAGTTCTAAGGTATCAGAAAGGAAATACTTATTCAAAGGAGAATTAAAGAAGATATAAAACTGAGAAATGATTCAGTAAATTTAAAAGATGCACCAACACAAACCATCCAAATTGAGGGCTGTAGAGATGGCTCAGTGGTTAAGAGCACTTGCTCCAGAACACAGGAAGTATCTCTTAGCCATCTTTAACTCCAGCTCAGAGGATTCAATGTCCTCTTCAATTTCCCTTGTATATGTACACACATACTCTCCCTATCTCTCTCTCTCTCTCTCTCTCTCTCTCACACACACACACACACACACACACACACACACACACACATTCATACATAATACATTTAAATAAAAATAAATCTTTTTTAAAAAATTCAAATGGAAACACAAAGAAAAAGTGTGTGTATGCATGTATGCACGTACACACACATCACTAAAATCCCAACAGAAAAATGGTGGAAAATTAAACTGTGAGTTTTCTAAAAATAATTAAAGACAATAAAACAAATACTAAAGGTGGTCAGTCCCACTCCCATTAACAAATAATAAACAGAAAAAAGCTCGTATTCAAAGTGATGAAAATCTTTGGAGGCAGGCAGAGAAAAGGGACATTCCATAAAGGAAAGACTTACAGTAGACTTCTCATTAGAAACCAGACAGACCTTGAGGTGATACAGTGATAACTTTAAAGTGCCAGAAGAAAAACTATCAACCTAGAATCTACCCCCAGCAAAAACATCTTTCAAAGATGAAAGCTAAGGAAAGGCATCACAGACAAAAGCTAGGAGGACTGATGACTAATAATACATTTAAGAAATCACTCAGAAGGGCAAACAGGATAGACATCGTAAGTAGGAGAAGACAAGGAACAGGACAGGAGCCTTCCACAGGGGCTGAAAGACTCTACCCATCAGGGTATCAAAGGAGATGCTGAGACTTATAACCAAACTTTGGGCAGAGTGTAGGGAACCTAGAACCCCTGCTCAAAGGAAGCCCATTGGCAGCTCAGTTTCCAGGTGGGTTCCCTAGTAAGGGGGGCAGGAGCTGTCTCTAACATGAATTCAGTGGCTGGCTTTTTTATTACATTTTTTTGTTGTGATCCCAGGTGTAGGATATAGAACTGGTTCAGACTGTCCATAGGAGCAAACTATTTGCCTAGTACAGGCTCTGAGAGGGGACCTTTGCTGGCTACAGATAATTTATATCTGAGGACTCTTGAGAGAGAATAAATGCCAGGGCCCAAAGAGAGAAGAAAGCTCCAAGAAAGAAAGCATCTGCTGGTACTCCTCCCTCTGCTCCTGGTTGCTGATGATGCAGCTGATGAGAAGAAGTTGGAGATATCCTAAAAGGAAGATTGGACTTCCCACAAGGAACCTGACGACCCTAACCAGCAGAAAAGTAGCTAAAAAGAACTGTGCCCCCTCTCCCACTAATCCCTTCTCTCTCCTACCTGGTGTTGGGGTGTTGGAAAGGATTGGGGTAGAGTAGGGAGAAAGATATTAAGAAACAAAAATAAAATAGTTTAAAAAAAAAGTACGTCAACAAAGACAAAATTATGTTCCAATTCATCTGACAGGGGGAGGGCTGGCAGGAAAACCAAAGTACTTGCTACTATCAGAGAGACTCTTACAATGGCATTTTTCCAGTGTGAGGGGCCTTCCATGGATTGCTCCGAATGTCAAAGTCCACCAGTCTCTGTCTACAAGCTCCTCCATTCAGGTATCAACGTTGTTAGTACCGCTGCCCCTCCACAGTGTGCTCTTCCCCATCAGTTAGAATGTCACCTATGTTTAAATGATCTTCCGCATTTACCCCATCTTTTTACCCAGAAGAGTCAGATGACATTTTTATAAAACTTACAAAGACTCTTTATACTCCGAGTATAAAGAGTCACAGAAGAGGTTTAGATTCTTCTGATTTAAATCAAGGTCTAGCAAAACTTCTATAATGGTTTAAATACTTTGGGCTTTGACAACTCAGAAAGTTGACCACAACTACTTGACTCTGTTGTAATATGAAAAAACAAAGAAACAATGCAAACCCATAGGTAAAGGAATGTACAGCTATGCTCTAAACAAAACAAAACAAACAAAAAAGCTTTATTAACAAAATCAGACAATGGAGCATATCTGGCTCATGGTCATGCTTTGCCAACCTTGACCCAGGGTTACAGCAGTCCAATAAAAGAATAAAGTTTAATATTGGCCAAACTCCTACCGAGAGGGTATACCAATATAGCCAATCCAGAGATGCTGTTTGGAGAAAGAGGTATCATGGCCCATGAACAGCAGAAAAGGGTTTGTTTGATCTCTGAGGGTTTGTTTCTAAAATATGTATTTTGTGCACCTTTTTGGGGATAGTGGTATTCAGAGATCAATTCTATCAACCTCTTTATCTTGGACTTCCAGCCTCTAATGCTGTGGGAAAATACAATTCTATTGTTTAAGCCACCTTATGTGATGCTAGAGTCCCATCTGGATGCTAAAGACTTTGCCACTCTCTACCAAAATAGTCCCACTCTGCAATGGGTTATCATAGAATCAAAGAACAGAAGGGCTCAACAGAACTTAAACGTCAAATGGAAATAATTTACATAGCACAGCCAGCCTGGTCCCAGGGTCATCTCAGTTTTACACCAGGCCATAGCAGATACACTACCAAGGAATATTTCCTCTGCCACCTTATACATTTATCAAAAGTAATATAAAAACAACAACAAATGAATCCAAATATAAAACATTACATTTATTTAAAAAGAAGTCCTACATCACCTGATTATTACAAAGTGTTATATGATCAATAGAACACAAAAGTAATTCCAGAAACAAATGTACACACACATATGAAACAGGCATGGGTCATCTCTTCAATACCTAGTGCTACAAGAATTGGAAAGCCTTATGAAAAAAAGAACCACTGAACCACAATCACCTCTACACCTTATGACATTCATGAAAATGTTTCTGAAATGGGATACAACTCTTAATGCAAAACCTAATATTTCTAAGCCATAAAAGTCTTGGTGATTTTGTGTTGGGAAAAGGGTTTACCAGGTATGTCAA